AGCTAGAGCTGTAAGACCCCATCCCCCTGCCCCATCCCAAACACAGACACATTCTATTCCCAAGCAGCCATGACATCAGTGCTGCCAGTGGAAGACAGGAGGTGGGAGTAGTGTCTGCACCTAATGTCCCTGCACCTGCACCACCTCTGCTTAGTCCAGAAGTGGGCACCGCAGTGGAATCACTGCCTCTTCCACCCCACTCTCAGCATAAGCCTCGCATGCAGGGAGTACTTGAGGGAGGAGCTGCACAAGGCAGGGCCACAGATAGCCTTGCACTTCACCTTCGACATCTGGAGCAGCCAGGGTGGCGATCGTGCCTACCTCTCCCTCACGGGGCACTGGTGCGATCAGTCAGGCCATCGCTGGGCTCTACTGCAAGCCAAGGTGCTGGATGAGTCCCACATGGCAAGGGAGATCATGGTGGTCATGAACCGCATGGTGCAGGGGTGGCTCACTGGGCAGGCCGAGCTCACCTGCGGGTTCATGGTCACCGACAACAGGGCCAATATGGTGAAGACTGTCCGTGATGCCAACTTTGTTGGCATCCGCTGTGTGGCACGCAGGCTGCAGCTAATAGTGAGGGATGCCTTGGAGGGGGACAGGGCTGCTGGTGACGGCGCAGCCACCAGCACTGCTACAAGCCCGCTGATTTTGAAATGCAGGAAAGTGGCAGGCTATTTCCACTGCCGCATCAAGGGGGGCAAGATGCTGTGGGAGAAACAGGCAGAGCTCAGCATCCCACAGCACAGAACCATACAGGATGTGGAGACTCAGTGGAACTCCACATACCTGATGCTTGAGCGCCTGGTGGAGCAATAGAAGGCCATCCATGAGATGGCCTTGCTTGGGGAGATAGGGATCAGTGCCCCGCTGAACAGAGCTGAGTGGGGTACCATCTCCCAGATCTTGGTGGTCCTCAAGACCTTCCTCGAGGCCACTGAGACCCTTAGCGCTGGCGATGCCCTCCTCAGGCAGGTGATCCCCCTAGCAAGGGAACTTGAGAACTAAATGGAGAAGTTCCAGGGGATTAGTGTTCCTGGCTGGGGCAGACCGCTGTCACCAATGTGCAGGCACTGGTGAGGCAGCTGAAGGAGGGCATCAGGAGATGGCTGGATTTCTTGTGGCCCAGTATGGTCCACATGATGGCGGGCATGTGCAACCCGAGGATGAAGGGGAGCATGTGCACTGGCAGCCCCAAAACCCTTGATCACTAGACACAGGTGCTGGTGAACAAAGTCAAGGAGGCCAAAGTGCAGAGGCAAGGGGATGTGGAAGAGGGGGATCCACTTTCCTGTGCCAGCACTCCCAGCACCAGCCAGTCTCCTCCACGCCAGCCACTGCCAATGTGGGCCATGGGCACGGCTTCAATGCTGGGGTCCAAATGCAGCAAACCCCAGCCTCAGGCACGTAGCTCCGAGGCTTCAGTGGCTACCTATCTCGCTGAGGATGTGGAGCCACTGGACTGCGACCCCTTGGCCTACTGGGCAAGCCACAGCCAGATGTGGCAGGATCTGGCCACAGTTGCCTGGCAATAGCTGTCCTGTCCACTGACCAGTGTTCCAAGCAAGAGGGTGTTCAGCATTGCTGGGGATGTTGTGACACCCCACCGCACCTGCTTGGATCCTACGTTGATGGAGCAGCTGGTGTTCCTAAAGGTGAACCTCCTGCTACTGGGGTTCCCCAAGATCTACCTGCAGACGGACTGAGCGCCACCCTCCTCACTCCGTCTGCACCAATTTCCTTTTTAGAGGTTTTGAAAAGCCAAGTAATGCCCCACTCTCAGCTGGAGGGGGCACCAACTGCATCACCAGCCAGCAGGGGAAGAACATGTCCCTGCTGAGTTCATTCCCCTGCCAGGACAAACTTGGAGGTATGGGATTGGAGCTATGGGGAAGGAGGAGGCCCCAGGTCCTGGGCATGACCACTAAAACTGTACCTTGCCAGGGTAGGGAGGCCTGGTAGGCTTGTCTAACTGTACCACAGTTGGTTCAATAGAAGACATTACCTTAAGAAATCCTTCCTCTTGCATAAAGAAAAACAGGCTATTAAGAAAGACACAAGAGTCTTCATGAGGCTGTTGGAAACATATCTGCTTTGATGTACTGTAATTACAGTGCATCAGAACAGCCTTCAAGAGTCGCTCTAATTAAAGTGCCTGAAGCATCTCATGTATCAGTGTCCCTGCACTTCAAAATGGTGGCAGGGATGCTTTATCTAAAGGTCATTGAAGAAGCTTTAGATAAAGTGCCCCTGCCATCATTTTGAAGTGCAGGGATATTAATACAAGATGCAGGAAGCTGCTGGAGTATGGCAATTTGCATGCTCCAGAAGTCTCGATTAATCAGGTCTGCTCCAACATGCTAAAATTAGTGCATCCGAGCACCCTCCCTGCTCGGGTATAGGCATCCAGAGTTTTAAAGTGACACGTAATGCACAGTAGCCTATTTTAATGCACATTAAAGTATCACTAAAAAAGGTGCTATTTAGTTGATGTGCATTAGAATAAGCTAACACGCATTAAAGTGCACATGTAGATGGGCCTGTGCTTCTTGTGATTCTTCTTGCAAAATAATTTCTCAGGTGCTTTATATTTAAGGCACTGCTTATTTACTACTTTCAGTCCAACAAAAAGAAATGTATATATAAACGGGATTTTAGAATGTCCAGGTCTGAATTTCTCATGCCATACTACTGACGTTTAGCTTTCAGGTGCACATTTTGGAAGCCACTCTGGCTAAAACAAATACAGATGAGGGCACTTTAGTGAAAACTGGAAACAAGTTTGTGACAGGGGACTCCCCGCCCCGAGCCCAACATACTTGGCCCAGTCTGCCCTGCTCTCACCTGCCATGCCTAGATATAAAGCAGGAAGCTACCCCATTTTATAACCCTGATGCTTTGGACTAAATACATGGCTCTGTACCATCCTTACACTGTGTCCCAAACCTTGCAGATGGCATCCAATTCCATGACTCCCCTAGCCCCTTTCTGGACCGCACTCAGCCTATCACACTTATGCACTGACCCCTCACTGCATTTATTGTACACACTGTTAGACCCCTCACTGGGTCACTCACTCACAGAGTGACCCCTCACTGAATCACTTCCTTTCACTTTAGGCCTCACTCACGCATTAACCTTCAGGTCCCACTCTGTGGACCTTGGCCCTGGCCCTCCTCTGGGCTTATTCCCACAAAGGTCTCAGGACCCACTCGGTGAACTTTGACCCTCCACTCTGGGACTCCCATTTCCCCAGGGCTGATGCTTTTCTGTCAGGGTGTGCTCCCCTAGCCTTTCCCCTCCATAGAGTCACCCACAAGGCAGTGGGGGCTGAGACTTTCCAGTGCCCCATCCTTGCCTTTCACTGGGGTGGCACAGGTGTGGCATTTCCTGGGGACTGCCCCACCACTGGCAGTCCCACCACACCATCCAGCCCCAGCTGGGCACAGTTTCAGGTGTTACCCAGGAGTAGGCAGACCCTCGCGTCCTATCTTTGAGCTCTCCTGTTCTTCTCTGGAGCGCCTATCTACATACCTGGGGTCACTTTACCATCTCTGGCCCTTATTTTGCTACTGGCCTGGTTTTGTACATCCCCGCCTTCAGGTAGTCCTACTGACCCACTTTGTATGGGTACAGGTGGCCTCGGCTTCCACCTCTTGCTGCCCTCACCCAAGGAACCTTTGCCCACTAAGGGCCTGTCCCCACTCTCTGGCTAGTCAGGGTGCCCTCCTGGGTCCCGGCCCCAGCCTGTGCCAGTGGGGAAAGCCCTCCTGGCCACCTGCTCTCTCTGAGCCCTTGCTCTCTTGCCAACTCTGGGGCCTCACACCCCACTCTGCTTTTCAACCCCATTGTTCTTCTGTCACTTCCTTCTCCCTGGCACTGATCTACAAGTGCCTCTGCCTCCAAGCTTTCTGTATTACTGTCTTCAGGTGGCCCAGTGACCACCCAGGAAGGCATGTTTCCCTCTAGGCCACCCCTGGGCCTTACCCAGGGATGAATGTGGGCTGCCCCAAGGGATCCCTGCCCCGGCAGGCCCCTAGTCTGGGCAACCCTGGACTCTACATGAACCCCTCTGCCCTCTAGGCCCTGGGCCTGAGCTGCCCTGCTCTCCAGCCAGTCTCAGGACCACCCCCAGCCCCGAGTCCTGATTGCCCCTGCTTCTTGGTCTGCAAGATGTCCTGTGGGGCCCTGCTCCTGTAGCCTCACATGCGGGGCTTGGGACCCTCTTGGGGTCCCCTGGAATCTCCTCCATCCCCGTAGTTCCTACCCTTGCCTTCAAGGTTGTTTCTAGGGCTGCAGTCCTCTGACTGGGGATTGCAAGTCCCCCGGTTCTTCAGATGAAACTCACAGACCAGCCTCAGTCAGCTTCTTCCCTGGCAGTCATATGAGGCTCCCAACTGGCTGCACCTGCTCTGAACTGGCAGGCTACTTATCACCTACCATGCTTGCTCTAGCCTGCTGACTGAGCCTTAAAGCGGCAGGCGCACACTGTACCCTGCCACACACCTTCCCTCTTAACTTCGCTCTCCCAGGAGGGGTCTCCTGAGGGAGTTTCTCTCTCAGCTGGCCAGATCTCCACAGACCAGCCTGCTGATCTCATAGTGGCAGGCCCCCACTGTCCCCTGCCACAAAGATGTTCCATAGCTACATTTGAAAACGTTGATACCAGGATTGTTTGACTTCCTGAAGTGAGCTTCAGCTCACAAAAGCTTGGACTATATCTACCCTGCCTTCCACTTGACTTCAGACTAACACAGCTAACCCCCTCTTTCTAATTTCTGCTGCCAGTTCATGATGCTAAAGCCATGTTTCCCTTTGAGAGTAATTACTGATCTTAAAGAAAAAATAATAATCAAGAGTCCATGCTATATTCTTAAATATGGTTTAATACTCTTCTCCATTTCTGTACATCACAACACCAAGATATCACTGCTTGGGATCTCTCTGCAGAGGCTATATAGTATGCAAAGGCTAGGATTTTTTCACCCCCTTTTAATGTGTATGTGTAAGTGTAATACATATCAGTATATATTGATATACACATCAATATATAATGCAATATATATCACTGAAGAGAACACATTGATTAAAGAAATACAAAAATTTGGCATCATTTCCAAACTTAAATAGTAAAAATAAAAACTACAAAAAGGAGCTGCATACCCTAATGTATCATGTGAAACAACAAGCAGTATATTCAAAAATGTAAATTTACATCCAATTTTTCTGGTCTTGTCATGTCACATTAGACCCATTTACAATGGCAAAATCCAAAACATACTGCTTTGAAGACTGTATATTTGCTTGCACTTGGGTTTTGTGCAAATCCAGAGCAGAACCAATCATATAAAAAACACTTTGATATGAGATTCCAGCTTTAATGTGAAAAGCATGTTGTAGACAATGGCAAACATCAAGCGGTTTGCTGCATAATAATCCAGGGGTACAAATCATATTGCTCACACCTGACGGTCATTTTGGACCTCTAGGAGCACAAAAGTTAAGACAAACTCCCCCATTCCTTTCAAGTGAAACAGGATTATTGGAACAATAGGCAAGAATGCTACTTGGGAACAAGCAGCTGCTTTCCACCAATGTGCTAAGTGTCTGAGGCCAGTGGAGAACAGACACTAAAGTGTCAAAAGTACCCATCAGAAAACCCACTAACCCAAGAGACTACAGAAAGGTCAGACCTGTTACATGTCATGCCAATGTCAACTTAAGCCTTTGATTTAAAAAAAAAAAGAGAGAAAAGGCTGGAGGTATGTGGAGGGAAGGCTAGAAATGTAGCCATTTCTACTGTTTAGAAATGTGGCAGGCATTACAAAACTTGCTCAAGCCTGGGTACAACAGAAGTGGGTTCCCACTTCTGAGAGTTGAGCACCCAGTTTGAATGAGCACTTAATGATCAAATGAGATGCAATCCTTGGTGTGGAGGAGTTGGTTCTCCCCCAGGGATGTGCTAATGTTCAGTGTACAAGTATTAAATGGTCCAAGTCCTCCTCTACCAAGGATTTAATCAACATCTCATCTTGTTAGGTGCTCCTGTGCAATACTTGCTGCTATTTAGACATTTATGGTTTCAATCAAATTTACATAATCAAGGCAGTCCTAAAATAAAGGTAAAACTCTTATGAAGGAAGAGCAGAGCTTAACAAAAAAAGTGTACCTGACTATATTTAAATCATGTGTATATTTCTGCTGAGACTGGAAAAAATGAACACCAGACCATCTCTCTCTCAAAATTAAGCCTGGCAACACTTTTGCTGTGATCAATGAAGCGCGTTTCCTAATTTGCAGGAGCAGAGTTTTTTCAAAATTGATTAAAATAACATGGTTTGGGAAGTTTCTACCAGCCCGGCTATTAATTTGCAAGCCACACCTTGTAAGCTGGCACTTGAGAAGAACCTCCTCTTATTCTGCCAATATTTAGCAAACAATGCCAATCTATCATCATGTTTCTTCTTCTGCAGTCTAAGCTGAGAATGCCATGTAAATGGGTCATGTCACCGCAAAAAATGCAGCAACTGATTTTCCCCAATCAAAATAAAAAGAAACAAACCAGTAGGATCTTACTTCTATTAATTTTTTCAAGGAAGAAGGTTTACAGCAGTTAATGTATCATGAAGGTTAAAAAAAAATCATTTTCATAAAATACAACCAATTTCACCATTGAGTAAAAGTAAAAACTGGGATTTCTTTTAAATTAGTCCGAAGTGGCATATAGGAACTTAGTAGCTTGCTGCTGTACTGACACTATGACAAACCAAAGTGTAGGTTTCATTTTTTTTTTTTTTCTTTTTTTTCTTTTTTTTAAATCCAATGCTTGTGGATCAAGTTCTGGAAATGTTCCAATTCTAAGGCAGGGATCTCTTGTGTTTTCCACCATGAGTTTGTTCCTTGGGTTGGATGCTGGAGGGGTGAGGCACGTTTTGCCAGACCCAGGTCGACTACCTAGTAGTCATCAAGGTCAAAAAATTCATCATCTCCTCCTTGATATTCCATTCCCTGGAAATCCACTCGGTACCGCAAGATACCTAGGGGAAAAAAAGGTAGGTTTGAATGTCTCCCTAATTCAATGAGCTACAAAAGGCTCATTACAAATTTGACGATTAATACCAGAGACTAGCATTTAGGATGTGGAATTCCCCATAGTAGGAATCTACAGAATCTAGAACTTAAAAGCTCCAGTGAAGGATCTTATTCCTCTCCCTGCCTCCCCCAAATATTCAGGTAGGGCACTAGATTACATGGAACGAAACATGAGATACAGGAAAAGCAGCCATGGCAGCATGGCCTTCATTTTCAGGTCAGCTAAAAAACCTGTAACACTGAACAGGTCTCCACTGTGACACTGACTGACCATCTCCATGCAATATCTAAACTAGTTATACACTAAAGTCAAATCTACCCAAGTTAGCTTCATTGTAAAGTTTGGGAGCCAATGATTATACCAGGTATGGAGACTTCTCATTCATCCAACCATGGTAATGCAAAATGCATGGGGCAAGCAATTTTGGTGTCTAGTGGAAAGCTATGCTTGTGACTAACCTCAAAGTTAGACGGACACAAGCTCTTAGTGTTGGCAGAGGTATAGCTAGACAGGGAAATAAGGTGTCCCAAGATAAGTCATTTCTGCTGGTTTAATTAAGATGTATACATTTCTGGTGGATGGAGGGGGAGTGCAGACAAGTAAGTAGGGATCTACCCAAATTGCAGCGGAAGTGCACTGCACAGCAGCTCCTTTAATCTTGCTCTTTTTGCCACGCTCCCCCCAACCCTTGATTAGCAGAGGGGCCCGGTCGCTCACTCCTAATCAGCCAGGAAGCAAAAACTGTGCTTTCAAATATGACAGTTTTTGCCTCCCACCATTGATTGACCGCAGGGCCCCCGGCAGCCCCAGTGCGCACTGCTGATAGGCTGCGAAGCAAAAATCACAGCATATTTAAAACCAGGGTGTTCATCTCCTGGCTGATCAGCAGCGAGCTGTGGAGCCACCAGGGTCCCTTTGCCAAATCAGCATGGAGGGGTCGGGGAGGTGCATGCATAACAAAAAGAGCAAGATTAAGAGGAGCTGCTGCACAGTGCACTTCCACAGTGATTTAAGTAGTTCATGGAGACAAGGTCCACCAGCTTCCCTGGGGAAGACAAAATGGGCTGTGTAGACCAACTAGAGAACTGCTGCTAGGTAATGCACTTCATGCCAGCCTGTTTTACCACGCAGACTCTTCACTATGTAGCTAAACTGAAAACAGTCACAGAGCAGACACAAATAATTCCCTCTACACACTTCATGGACCATAACTCCCTATCCACAGAAACAGAAGTCTGGGTATGTTCTAGTCTCAAGTTAGTACCAGGCTGGCAGCAAATCAGATGGCACCGTCAATATTTTATACTTGGCTTATTCCCCCTCCCGCTCCTACATTTTACCTCCAATTCCTCCAAATCCTTTCACAAATTGGGATCCTTCCTGTGACTTGTCTGTAACGATTTCCAATGTTGCTCCAAATTTTTTGTAGTTGTTAGCAAACCATTCCAGAAGGGGCATACTTTCTATCAGTTCATGTTCCTGGCCAGTCTATACAAACATTAGAAGAGGAAGAAAAAAAAAAAAGTCAGTCATCACCATCACTGCATCTATTGAGGGGTCATTTCCATACCCATCCCCAATTCATTTGATGGCTTAACTAACAGAAGCCAGCACAGGCTGTGCTCTCAGCCAGGAGGCAGGCAGGTATTGATGACATGCCCAAAGTCAGACTTGGAGACACTAGCATTGTGCAAAAGTTTAAGTGCTAAGCAACTGGAAGTTTTGACATGTGTCTACTTTTAGCTTCCATTGCAGGGAACAGGACTGCAGAAAAGTGAAAGAAATTGAACAAAGGGATCAATACAGCTGATACTTTGAGCCACCGGGTAAGTTTTAACAAGTGAATGTTTTAAGCTAGGTATCCTATGAACATTTTAATAATATTCCTGATTTCTTTGGTTTCCACTTGCTAAATCCAGTAACCAATACCCTAGAACAAAGGTTCCCAAAACTTTTCTTACTGCATATCCCCTTCCCGATTTACCAGCTGTCCCCGTACCCCTGCAGGGTAAGGGGGGACAGTTCACATCATTGAGAGCTGTCCTCTGGTCATTACAAAGGCAGCTGCAGCGGAAGAGAATATTTCCTAATGGCAAAGCTGGCAGAAAAAGATACCAGTAACCACAGCCACTGCCTTGTGGATTGCCTCGAAAGAGGTGAAAGGCTAAGGGAGTAAACCCTGAAAGAAAATCCAGAGTGGATCCCCTAAGGTAATTAGACGATTATTCAATCTTCTTTCCAGCAGCTCTCACATCTTTCCCAGCCCCACATCATATTGGTTCTGGTTCTACCTTTCCAGTGATAAGATGGCAAAGTTGAAAAGGTGATTCTGATGTTTGGGCAACTCTTTATCACCTAGCAAACGCCCAGGCTTTTGCACCCTGGAGAGGTTACTCCAGCTTCACCAATGTGTTGAAATAAACGGGAGTCAACATTACTGGTTATAAGCCATGGATCAAATGGTGTAGATCCAAGCACCACGGGGTATCAAGGGTAGGAAGGTCATTGCACCTCATTGGAAAACTATTGCCCGTCTCAAGCTGGGCAGTCCCCAGCCAATAAAGTGTGTTCTCGCCAGTCTGCTGCTTCAGTGGGTGCTTGCAGCTTAGAGATTCAACTTGAAACCAGACTGCTATCATACACCAGCTACTACAAAAAATGAGAAGAAAAACTTTCAATCCTAAAGATTGGAAGTTGGAATGTATGGACAATGATCCCAAGTATAGCCAATGACCTCCAAATCACTGACAATAAATGTAAAACTACAATCATTGATGAAGAATTGCCAAGACTGAATGTCGATACCAGCACTCTACAAGAGACCAAACTACCAGACACTGGTTGCCTAAAAGAGAACTATGCTTTTTTTCTGATGTGGTAAACAGCCTGAAGAAAATCAGAGAGCATGGTGTTGGCTTCATAGTAAAAAATAAACTGCTGTTTGCAATGAAACCCCTCAAACAAAGGTTTTGAAAGATTAATGGTGCTTCAACTCACTTCTGCCTCTGGTCCTGTCAAACTCTTATGTGTATACGCTCCTAACTGTCACCCAAATCAAAGGTCCATTTTACACTGAGCTTAGTGCCTTAATCAGAAATATTTGACCTAATGAAAATATTGTCCTGTTTGGAGACTTCAATGCAAGGGTTGGCACTGAGCATGGTGCCTGGCCTCACTGTTTGGGCACCACTGGTATTGGCAAAATGAATCAAAATGGATGTTTGCTCAAGCTATGTTCATGCAATGAGCTATGTATAATGAGTTTTTTCTTCAACACGAGACCTCAACACAAGGTATTTTGGTGCCACCCATGATCTGGACGCTGGCATCAACTTGACCCAATTCACCCGCTCTCACAAGACTTCCGTGATGTAATCATTATGCAATCCTATCAGAATGCTGACTGTGATACTGATCATTCATTGCCATGCACTAAAGTAAAATTGCATCCCAGGAAATTGTACAACAGCAAGAAACTCTCCTTACTATGAATAAATGCCACCTGACTGAAAGCTGAAGACAACATCATCTCTATTCATCAACACTCTCTCCAGGGCTCTATCATCACCTAAGTGGTGCAATACTGCTGAGGAGAAATGGGTTCAGCTCAAAGGAGCCATCTATCAGACTGCCTTGGTCTCTTGTGATGCCTTGCATCACACCTCAAATGATCAGTTCAATGAGAACTCATCTGAAGTGATTCCACTCCCAGAAAAGAAACAGTCATCTCTCCTTAAATACAAGTGTGACCATAGCCAATCCAACTTGCATATGCTTCGAGAGATCCAGCAAAAGGTAAAACATACAGTGAGACTGTGCACAAATTATTATTGGCTACAACTGTGCCAAAGTATCCAAAAAGCTGCTGACTGAGGCGACATGCAAGCAATGTATGGGGGGCATCAGGAAAGCTCTCGGTTCTGTTCCAAGGAAGACTACCCCTTTAAAAATCCTCCACAGGTGAAGTCAATGACTGCAATAAGCAGATAGAATGATGGGTTAAACATTACTCAGAACTCTACTCTTGAGAAGATGTGGTCAGTGACTCCTCTCTTGATGCACTTGAAAAACCTCTCAATCCTGACAGTGCTTGACCATGAATCCGCCATAGATGAAGTAGAAAAACCCACTGATCAGCTTGCTTGTGGTAAAGCCCCAGGTGTGGATTGCATACCAGCCAAAGTTGTGTGGGAAGTCTGTCATCCTCCCTGATCTGCACAAATTGTTTTTGTACAGAGTGACTATGCTTGCATCCTTCACATCACGAGGAACTTCACCTTCTCTCCAAGATGTACATAATTGAAGGTGATACAAGAGACCATAATAACTATCACAGTATATCCTTACTTTGCATCACTGGAAAGCTGTTTGCCAAAGTTGTCCTGCTAAGACTGCAGAACCTTGTGGACAGAGTCTACCCTGAGTCTCAAACATGGTTTCAGATTTGGTAGATCCACAACGGATATGATATTCTCCTTGAAACAGCTACAAGAAAAGTATCACGAACAAAGGAAATCTTTAGGGGTGCACCAAGAAAGATTTTTTTGGCCTATATCAATGGCCAATTATTAACCAGCCATATAGGCCGATACCAATCTGATACGCAGCCCAGCAGCTTGGAGAGCAGCATCCAGCCAGCAAGTCTGTGAGGGGGGAAGGAGTGGGAGGGGGGCACATTGAGGTCCCCCACAATAAGGGAGGATATGGGGCTGCCCAGCTAGGGTGGACAGCACCTATCCCTGTTTCTTCCCTCATCATGCAAGTCTTGAGCTGCACCTCCCATGCCTCTTCCCCCTCCCAGACCTGGAGGACACTGCCCTCCAAGCTGCCGGGCTGTATTCCTGGTTACATGTACGCTGCAACTGTGCATGTGCATGTAACATTTAAGTTGGTGACATTATCAGTTACACTGGTCAAATAAAGCAGATTGCTGATAATGTCAATTTTCCTTTTATTGGTGCCCATTTGATATAGACCAATATTGTCAGTGCACCTCTAGAAATTTCTACACACAGCATTTGTTGACCTCCCCAAAGCTTTTGATCTTGTCAAGCATAGACAGTTTGTTCCGAATCCTGAAGATGACTGGCTGCCCTCCTAAGCATTGTCAAGTCCTTCCATGTTGGTTTGAGTAGAACAATGCAGTTTGATGGGTCAAGTTCAGAAGAATTTGAAATCAAGAGAGGGGTGTCAAACAGGGCTGTCCTAGCAAAAAAAAAATCCCAAAAAGCATCAGAGCTGTCCTACTTAAAAATGTGTTCAGTGACTCTTCAGGAGTATACCTCCGGACCAGATCCGATGGGAAACTCTTTAACCTTGCTTGTCTCAAAGCGAAAACGAAATACCAAGACGTTCTTCTCCACAAAATGCTCTTTGCCAACGACACAGCAATTGTTAGTCATTTAGAAGCAGGACTGCAAAGTCTCATGGACTGCTTTTCTTGAGCTTGTGACGATTTCGGGCTGACCATTAGCCTAAAGACGACAGTAGTCATGGGTCAACACGTTGACTGCCCTTCTGAAGTTAAAATAAATGATGAAAGCTTGGAAGTGGTTGAGAAAGTGACTTACTTGGGCTCCATCATCTTGCAAAATCTTGGCTTGGAATCCAAAATTAATGCTCGCATTGGAAAGACAAATAATGCCATAGGTAAACTTCAGAAGAGAATTTGGAAAAAGAGTGCTCAGTCCATCGATAGTAATGTATGTCTACAGTGCTTGCAGACATAGCTCCCTATTGTATGGCAGCCAAATGTGGACCCCTTATGCCAAGGAAGAAAGAAAACTGAACAGTTTCCATCTTTGATGTTTCTGCTGTATTCTGGGCATAACATGGCATGACAAAATCTCCAACTTTGCTGTTCTGAAACGGGCCAAGGTACACAGTATGTTCGTGCTCCTGAGACAGATGCCTCCACTGATTAGGGCATGTGAATCGCATTAGCAAATGCCCAAGAACATACTCTTCAGTGAGCCAGCCACTGGCAAACGTCAACTTGGATGGCTCAAACTCCATTTTGTTGATGTCTGCAAGAAAAACTTCTGTGAGCTGTGCATTGAAGGCCAACGCAGGGAATCAATTGATTTGGACTGCAGAGAGTGAAAAGCCACCGTGAAGCAGGGCCTATATTGCTTTGAGATGGAGAGGGTCAACGATGAGATAGAGAAGAGGCTTCAGAGGCAGGCAAGACAAGATGGTACTTGGCACGCTGGCACAAACTTAACTGAGTTTATATGTGCAACTTGCTGAAAGGTCTACTTGTCACACACTGGACTCCTCAGCCACTCAAGAAGCTGTGGTGGTCCTTGGTAACCCACCAAAGGTGCAATCTCCATGATCTCCTGAGACTGATGGCTGCCAACGATGATGTACCTCTACCAGTATACATTTGGTATTTTAACCCCTTAAATGCCAATTATTATTATTATTAAAATTAAATCTGCATTACACAATTTCGCTAGCATACACCCCAGAGATGTTGTGTGTGCCCCCGGGGTAACACATACTACAGTTTGGGAACCCCTGCCCCAGAACAAGGCCGTCTAACTGGCAGCACTTCAGAAACTGGCAAGGCTGACCTCAAAGAGAAGGCGAGGCAAAAATAGCTACACTAGCTGGCTCATCAATACACAAGGTTGGTCTCTTCAATGCTGTCTATGAAGGAGTCACTTTTTCAGAAGGGACAAGCTCTCCCCCAGATACAGGAAAGTTATATCGAAGAAATCTAGAAGTTCCTCTAACCCAAGATTGGCAAGAGGTCCCATATTCAGTGGATTGTCATACATCTGTTCCTCATTTACCTAGAGGCAGATTCCCCAGTCTTCCACCTACAGCAGTCATTTTGATTTGACCACTTACAGGTGTGAATGCTAAATGTTTCACAGTCACTTTGCTCTAGTGCAAGGCATAGCAAAGAGAGGGGGACAAGGCAAACATCAAGTGGAAGAGGAGGCTGTGCTTCCTAGTCCCCTTTATACTGGCTCCTTTGTCTATGGACACCCCGGGGGGGGGGGGGGGGGGGGGAGACGGGGGAGGAGGGGGGGGGAATCAAAAGTAGTAAAAAACAAGGGGCAAATCTCAAGTTCTACTCAAGGTGAATGGGAACAACTACAGGGTAGTCCATTAAAATCACATGTTAAAGCCAGAAGAGGACTGCACTCAAGCATTCTGCAACAAATTAAGTGTGTAGAGATTCAAGGGCCTGCACCAGAGTGACCCTTCCTGAAAGTACTACCAAACCCAGCAGATTAAATACCTCTTTATCTGTGAAGTGGGATTTATCTTTCTCTTGTTCTGGTGTCAAATACAAGATCTTCTCCTCTATGGAAGAAACACAGTATGAGAGATTTGCTGCAACTGCCTAAAGTAAGTTAGGAGCTAAAGACTGAGAGAAGCAGTCACTAGGAGTCAGACCTCCATCTGTACAGCCCTTCTGCCTGTCTGGGGAGGCTGCTGACAGGGCAGGACAGGTTGCACACACAGCCACTGCACACCTGCAATGCACAAAATGGGAAGAGGACCTGGACATTAAGGGACAGGCAGAGCCACAAGGGAATGGTGCATCTACCCCAAAGGCGGCCAGACAAGCAATATATAGAAATACATGTCTGGGTGGTAGAAGGATCAGATCACTTTTGCCCCCATGTTATGCACTACTAGTGTATTTGCCTGCACATGAAGTCACACCTTTGCAGAGCCAAGCCCTCTCCATCCCCACATAGGGTAATCTGATCACGTTCATACTTCCCAGAAGACATTAACTGTTAGAAATTCCCATAGCCAGCCAGCAACTATTAGAGCCATGGGTGGGCTGGGGGGGGGGAGGAATTAGAAGATGGACTTTTGCCCAACAGAGTTCCCTCAAATGCAAAAAGAATGTTTAATAGCTACCCGCCAACACCACCCAGAGCCTTTTGGATCAGGTCAGATGTGGCCACATACCTTCAGTGCCTTGGCAGTGGAGAACATATCTCATTATATCCAGGTTTTCATAAACTATCAGTATCTCTACTGCTCCCATTTCCAAAGCTTTTAGTGTATCTTCAACACCAAAGCAATACTTCCCTGAATCCTGACTGATTTCATCAAAGTATCGGCCTGCATTCAGAGCACAGAAAAACAGTGTGTCACAAACATAGATCATGTCATATGGGTTGTTATGAAATCTATTTTTTTGTGAAAGCAAGTGACCACAGTAACACATTTGCCTCCTTTTCCTGAAACAAAGGCTCCTCATGCTTTGAGAGACTGTCATGTGTACTCGTTCACTTGAAACTTACCTTGGATGCTCAGGTGATTCACGGTTTCATTTCATGTAGATGCTACATATACCTTTATCCCCTTCAACAAAGGACAGCAACTAGTATGAGCCTCTTACTACACTTTCGTATTGGTAGTGCATGCACCTGCTAACCAGTCACAAAAGGGGATCATTTCTATCATCATCTTTAAGGCAAAGAAAATCTTAATTCTCATTTTCCTGGAGATGGAAGAGACCCGAGTAGGGATTTCCCCTAACTGCAATGTGAGGTCTGAAACTAAGGATGGCCTTCGCGAATAGGAGGGAAAGATCATACAGCAGGGGTGGGGAAAATGCAGCCCGTGGGCTGGATGTGGCCCGTCAAGCCATTCTATCTGGCCCGTGGGGCCCCTAAAAAATTAAGAAAATTAATATTTAATCTGCCCCTGGCTGCCTGTCATGCGGCCCCCAATGGCTTGCCAAAACTCAGTAAGCGGCCCTCCACCCGAAATAACTGCCCACCCCTGTCATACAGGTAGGTTGGTAGGAAATGGGGAAAGGAACTTTCAGTAAGTTCCTGCAGCAGTTGAAATGATGCTGGGAGAAGAGAAGGGCATCATGACTGATGACTTCTGCCCAAGCCTTTCTACCAGTTAGGACTGAGCTACTGCAAAGCAGGTAGCATAAACAGCAGCATGCGCAGCAATGCAAGGGATACCCATCCATGGAGCCAGCTCGAAAGGTGACGTAGTCATACCTATTAGTTTCTTCTCTTGAATGAACTTCACGTTGGAAAGGACTTCGGTGGATAACTCAATTGCTTGATTGAATCCATTTTCTCCACCATACGAGATGTCAACTAGTTTCAGCACTTTGGATTGCAACCGCTATCCCCCAAAACAACAAAACAAACAAACAAAAAAAGCCAGCATTAGGCAACTTATAAAGCAGCACCTGCCATAAAGCTCTCTTAAAGCAATCCAAACAAATATTTGGTGAAAGTACTGAAGTTAATCTGTCTTGGTTCACTTGCATGCAGGGGTTCTGAGCATAAGATATTTATGTACCATGTTCAGACAGTGAAACCAAACAGATGAGGTTTAGCAAAAGTTTAATTCTACTAAAGTCTTTGCTTTTACTGTGGAATCCAGACAAGGATGAATAACCCTATAACCCACAAGGGTAGATTTTCCACTAAACACACTGTAATACTGGGAAGTGAAATCCAGCTCCTTGTAGGGGGTCATTGGGATTTGACTCCCTCCCTATAAGAACAGCCCACTATAGATTATCACAATTTCACAATTTAATCAGATCATGCTCAGATTAAGATGTTGCAGTTTAGATTTCTCCCGAGATGTATCTGGTAGCAGCCATGAGTCACTGCCTGCATTAGCACTACTATGTTACTATGAACTGGCTCACTCCAGTAGATAGCCTATGTTTCATTTCGCACACAAGACCACATTTCCTCACCTGATCAAACATGTCAGATTGACTTAGTTCCGTTTTGAAGTCAGCTGATCCAGCTAAAACGAGACCAGCCACATTCACCTTGTCACCAGAAATGAACAATTGCACAGCTGTCTCTGCTACCTTCCGAACATAGTTGTGCCGCTTTTCCATCCTCAAACGAGCAAAACGCAAGGCAGACTGACCTCCTCTACCTTTAAGAGAAAGAACAGATCTCATATAGCAAATCTGAAAGACAGAGACCTCTTCTCATGGAAGTTAACACATGATCCCAACTGGGTCTAGAATAAATTAACCCAAGGGCTGATGCAGTCTTCAGAATTAAGTTTGCTACAATGAGAGGAAAGAACATCCCACTAAAACAGCAAGAAGTGACTACACAGTGTCCCATTACCAACTGATGACTCTCTACATGCGCTCTGCATAGGAAAATGTTTCACAGACTAGAAGGCAGATCCTATTCTACTCTGTATTAACTGTATTTTGGGACTCAAGCAACAGCAAGAGAGCAAGGTGCACCTTAGACTAGCTGATTCAGGGAGGCATGAGCTTTCATAGGCAACAACTTACTTTGTAGGTTGAATACTACATGAACCAGCTAGACTCAAGTCAGGCAAAAGACAAGGCAGGATGGCACCTTAGAGACTAACTGGTTCAAATAGTATCTAACAAAGTAGGTTGTTGCCGATGAAAGCTCAAACCTCTCTAACCCAGTTAGTCTGAAGTCTACCCTCTCTCTAAAGTCTACCCTGTCTTTTGCCTGAGCTGAGACTAACATAGCTAACCACCTCTCAGTTGATGGCAAATGTCCATGGAGTCCTCCCCTCCTCCTGCTTAGGATTCAGTCACGAAAAGCAGTAAGGCTAAGACAAAAGGGCGTTAAAGAAGTTAGGGGCATTAAAGTTGCTTCAGGGATGGACAGGGTGGAACAGGATCGCACTCAGCCACCAAGTAGATGAAAAAGGATCTGGCCCTCATGCTTACTTCATTATGTATAGTATTGCATCAATACAACCCTCATTTCACGCTGGTGCGGTCTCTTGTAGGGAGTTCCACTGGTGTAAGTATGCGGGGCAAAAACTAGATGAAATAGGAAAAATTATTAACCAAGACTACGCAACAGCTGGTTAAATATATTATTCAGTTTTAATATCCTGTTCCATAATACTTGTGCAACTAACCTGTGTTTCTAGCTATACTAAATTCTCATGCAATGTTACATGAGATTTTCCTATGGTATTTAAGTTCCATTATAAACTGGTGTTTTTGAGAAAGTTTGTTAAGGGGCACCTAAATTTAGGGGAAGACTTGACTAGAAAGTTTCTTTTTAAAAAGGATTGACATTGACAAGTCAATATGGTACTCGGCTATTTGAGACTAGCAAAAGACATCAGGAAAATGCATTACAGGATTCCAACCTAAAGAACCAAACCAACATTACTCATTTCTGCTTCAGTGTCTAGGTCAGGTGGAGATTTCTTCTTGGATGTGGAATGGAACTCTGCCTCAGGATTTAACTGCACTTTAGGCTCCTGCTCCCAAAGCTTTCCTTCCTACTGAAGGCATTTTAGATCTGTGTTACTGCATTGCATTACCATGCTTCTTTGGGAGATCCACAGTGAATTTGTGCAGGACTTCTCTTGTGTTTCCTTGAAGAGTTCCAAAGAGTGCGCCACTACCATCTATTACGATAAAACCAAACTTGCTGTCATCAGACAGCAGCGCCGTAAGAGCCTGAAATGCAAATACAATATGGATTACCAATGAACACCATCTACTGATATCAGTGCTTTGGCCCCACAGCTGGTTAATGAAGAGCATCAGGCACGATACAGATTAATGAAGCCACAGATCAATGGTTATGGCTGTTTTTATGAAGCAATCAAGGCCATATGACAAAATAAAGGATCCAAGAATTATCCTGCAAGTTGTGTATTCAAGTCTAGTGTTGAGGCAAGAGGTCATGGGTTTTAGGCTGATGGTAAGTTTTCCAGAGCAATTACTTGACTGCATTGCTTAGAAGGTGTAGCAGAGAAAGCCCCCTTTTCTTCTTGCCTGCATTTGCTCTCCCCTCATTGAATATGTTTTTCCTCTTCTACCTTTTCTTCCTTCCTCTTTCTTTCACTTTAAGATAAGGAATTGTGTTTTGAAATTTGTATGTGTGCATTTTGTATCTCCCCTTGTATTTTGGTATTTTTATCTATTTGTGTGCCATGGCATTTGTAGCTTATATTTTATACTCCTCACCTTTCAACTAAATGTGTTTAGTTTCATAAGTAAGTTATACATTGTAACAATGTTAACAAGGGCAGGAATCAAACTGCCCTCCCCTGTATCAGGCTGGCCCCTGAAAGAGCGAGTGAATCAGTGATTGAATGTGTAACATGGTAGCAGGCAGCAATTAACACCTAAGGAAACTGCAGATCAACCAAAGGAAGAACTCAATAGAAGACAATGTAACAACCGGGACATCTCTAAAATGTCACAGATCAAGGGCTAGAAGTCCTGGCCTGAGTTAATCAACGCCGGGGACCAACTTTTGGGCTGAATATCTCCA